ATATATATATATATATATATATATATCAGTTAGACTGTTTTAGTTCTAAAGCAATAACAACAGAAATGTGGGTCTTACTACTAAGTAAAGATTGTAAGAAGGAAAATATAAAATTCTTATGTGGTACTGGTACTTGTAGTATTACATACAAATCACACAAGTTTATCATTCTAACTACTGAAACATATTATTATTATGAACTAAATATAAAATTACACTAAACTATTGAACTTAAAACTACAAATTTATATTCAAAAGAACATAAAAAATCACAAACTCTTTCAGTTCAATGTCCTAAGCCTATTCATGTAAAGACCTTGCACTTGGTACTCGATAGCTCTTAACCCTAACAATAGTAGATCAACTTCTTTCCTAAAAAAATATATATTTTCAGTTAATTTTTCAATATAATGATTAATATAAATAGATATACGATGCAGCATGACTTAAGCAACAATATAAAAATAATAAAAGTCATGTACATACCATGCAGTTTTTTTCCAGAAACAAGTTTTCTAACGCTTATAGAAAACCACTATTGGCCAGTACTAAATACAACCTCTACATAAAATGGCAGTTACTATAATGAGCACCACCCATATTGGAATAACATGGTACTGAAATTGACACCTTCGACTAGGATTGGCTAAAAGTTTTACAACTGATGTTTAACACGCCCAGACACTGTTTTATAAAGAAAACAGACTAGAAAAAGTTTAGATACCAATCATAGATGGCAGGACCAGTGCTGAAGTGAAAGGAAATACTTTTAAAAAATTTTGAAAAAACAATTTTCTTCTTAGAGGGCACAGTCTAAAACGTATTTTAGGATTTTTTTCATTAAATTCCTCTTTAAACTTCATTAAATAATACAATTTTGTACAAATAATTGAATGTTATGCTATTATTTACAAAAATAAAATTTGAAAGCCAATAAAAAATAAGTTCTCTATAATTTTTTCAATTCACAAATGTGATTTTGCCCTCACGATAAGATCAAAATGGCAACGGCAGATAAAGGGTTAAGGGCATCACTGAAAGTTTCAAAAATACTGCTTTTGAAGGTTTGATCTTAATTAGGAGTGAGTGTTTCCCAGAAAACTTGTACTATGATTGATATACTGTAATATAATAAATTATTGTAATATAATAATGTAGTGGAAATTTTATTTACTTGTAATTTTACTAAGATATTACAAGAATTATCTTTTAACATCTTTTTCAGTCTAAAATGCTTTCAAACATTGCTTTTAGCCCTTTTGTTTACTAAAATCAAGAAGTCTTTCTTTTGCTAATCTGCTATTTTTCAAGAGATATAACTCTAACAAAATAATGTTGTATAGTCTCAAAGCTATAACTAGTGTAAAATATTTAACAGGAATTTAACCTTTATATGAAACTAGCTAAAAGACAGTATATTTTAAAATAAGTTTCTAACTTAATTTGTTAAAACTCAAGATATTAATTTGCCATTAAGAGTATAAACAGTTTCACTCTTGCTAGAAGTACATTTCTTCTACAATGGTTCTATTACTGATAGTTTACATATTCACATTCAGCTCTTGCTTGAAGAATTTAACAGCTTCCCTGGTTATCCCAACTATATTTAGGTTAAGTGGTCTTGTAAGTAATTATTACACCATGTTAAGTTGGGATGCTTGTACACTGAAAGGTTTTCACCCAAGTACACTTGTTATGATAGTGAAATTTCATTTTATATTAATTTCATATTTCACAAATAGACGACAGCACAAGCAGAAATTTTTTGTAGCTTGCTTCTGATAAAAAAATGAGATGCTAATTGGAGAAGAATTCAAAGAAAAAAGTTGAAGTGATTTATCACTCTGTGTCACATCTTGCTTCTGAATCCACCATACATATAGTTGAATATGTTATAAACTTTATATATTTTTCTGACAGGTTGTCTTTTTTACTTATTTTTTATAATTATGTAATTGTTTTCTGCATGTATAAGGTATTTCATGCAAATAAACCTAGATATATTATTTTCTTTACACTTTTCTTATATCTCTCGAGATATCTAAGGTTTATAATAAAAGCTTATTATACACATATTTTTTTCATATAATACAATTGATATACTATTACAAAACATTTTGTACTTGATCAAAAATATGTTAAGGGAAAGGGACCTTCATTTTTTTCACTTATAAAACATCAAAAATATCAATACAGCACTTTCACATCATAATGCATCAGTTTATTATTGTATCTAATTTTAACAATGGATGTTATATAATAATAGACTCTCAGTAATGACACCTTACTGAAAATGCAATACCATATGTTCTCAATCAACTGCTGTATGTTTGATAATATTTTACTTTCTAGTATTATCAACCACATCTAATAAATCTGTCTGAAACTATTGTACTTCCCAGTGTTTCCAGTCACATGTTAAACATCTGTTCAACATTACTGTATTTTCTACTATCACCAACAAGTGTAAAAAACATGTCTTCTGGTGTTATAAACAGGTTAAAATTTTATTTTCTAATACTAATTTAGTGTTAGATGTATATTCTAGTCTAATACTACTGGAGTTCCATGTATGACCAATCTAGTTTTAAATCTGTCAAACACTATAGTATTATTTATCTAGTGTTATAAACCTATCTGATGCTAAGGTTATGAAAAACTTTCAAACTGAAAATACTGTTAAAACATGGTTAACTTTAAAACTAACAATTTCTTTCTGTACTATTACTGGTGGGATCCATAAATTGCACCATGTTGAGTACTTCTGTTTTGTCTATTACAACACACACTGTAAAGAACTAACCACAATAACTGAGTAAAATCACTCATTTCCTATGTAAAATATTTTATCAGATTCCTATGGTAAGTAGAGGGATTAGCTGTAATATTTATAGTATATTTGTTTATATTTTTCCATGATTCTTATGTTTCATAGAACCCTTTAACCACCAAAATAAAAGACACACAAGAATATTTAAAAAAATGTGTTAAAAGTTGGAGTTTGAACCCCAGTGGTAATTCTAGGGTTAGAAGAAAATAAAGTTGTTACGACACTTTAATCACAATTTTTCATCATCTGGTCACACTAATTCTGGTAAAATAAATCAATGTAACAATACTACATGCACATTTATTAGCATACAAAACACCAAATGTTCAGTACACACCTGTTAGAATGCCTTGACTGGCCAGGATCATGATGGCGGCTAAAGAGCCACTGAAGATAGCATTCTGTCCAAAGTTCAGCAGCGCAAGACTTGTCGTTGTTTTCAGAGATGCACGTTCATACTTAGTAAGGTAATAGTCATATCGATTTGCTTCATACTCTTCATTGTTAAAATACTTGGTAAAGGAAAAAATATTCTCTCTTTAAGAATGATACTTAAAAAGAATTCAAAATTTACAGTCACAATAACTTGTCAAATATTTCAATAAAGATGTATTGTGAAGTATTTCATAGTACATAAACTACTTACTCACAACATGAAATACTCTTTCATGAAACTAAAATCATAAAATATACCAGATTCACTGATAACAGAGAAATCTAGTATCTTGTTTATGCTGTTCTGGTTCAAATTGTTTAAATGTAACATATTAGTACAAGATTCAAACTCTGTGATGAGTAGATGTGAATTCGATCAAAAACGTTGTGCAACAAATAACATTTATTTAATTTTATTTACCAAACCATTGTGCCATAAAAACCATAGGACTAACATTTAAATTCATTTATTAATTAAAAAGTCTGAGGAAATATAGTAATGTTTAACAAGTAGCTAAAGGTCCAATTCCAAATTTTAGTTACAGAAGTTTCACTTTTCTTACTTTCACAGAGTTGAAACTGCACACTGCTGGTTTGAAATCCAATATATATATATATATGGACAATTTCACATTCAACATACTTGTTAAATGCAGTCAGGTTTTAATCAATATATACTTGGGAAAGCTACTTTCTCCATTAGCAAAAGTTATGGGCAAAGTGAGCAGAAGTCTCAATGAGATAAATGCTTTCAGAAACAATGATCTAAATTCATTCTTGCAATGTATTACAATACCTTGTTTAGAGTTACATTTGTCACACTATGTGAATTGGCCTGTAATTCATCACATATTTTTACTGCAATGACATAAATATCTTACCATTTGATAAGCTCATTTTGAAATCAAGTGTTTCAACATATTCCTTGACAAATAACCAATACAGTACAAAAAACTGAAATAATCACGTATTTCTGTAGCTGCTGAAACTTCCCTCCAACTGATCCAATTATTATATTAAGAATTGCTTTGTGCGGAACAATGATAGGCTCATTACAACCTTTGTATCAAAAATGTCACTTTTCTATCTCTCTTTTTTGAGAAAACCTCTTGTTCTTTTTAGTGAAAATTTACAGTGATTTTCATATATTCTGCAAACTCTCTTGCATTCACCATAGCTTTTAAAGGTCTTTCATCAGTCCTGTCCTGATGAAGCAAATCTTTGTTTTTTTGGAGTTGTGGAATATTCAAGATAAGTCAGGATCCCTATTGTACAGCTGCCTGCTGGTGAGGTTGGTTTCATACAGCAAATCATGTAATGTCACAAGAATAGCCACAGATTTGAAACCATATGCTTATTTTAGCAG